TTTTATAAGAACATGTGTGTATTGTGTGTAAAAATTAAAAAGTGCGGATGTGTATATATGTTTTTTTTTTGTGTGAGTGTGAATGGGTGAATTTGTGAATTATATATGATGAATGATTAATAAAATATTATTTCTTTCTTCTAATTATTATTCTTCTAATTTATTCTTTGGAAAAAAATATTGTTTTGCCTTACTTGTACAAGATTATACACAATCAAAAAAAAAAGGATCAAAAAATTTTTGATGATATCAAGCCCAAACCTGTAATATATAATCAATTGTCATTTATAAATATTTAAAATAAATAAATAAAAAAACATCAATTAAGAGATCATCCGATTCATTAAATATTTTCCTACCTTTAATGATGAATCCCAACTACCCGTACATAAAGCCATACCATCAGCAACACCTAAAGCAACACCATTATTGGTTCCAACATAAAAAAAAGCATCTTCTCCAGCATCAACTTTACCAGGTCTCATTCGTTCTTTCCACCATAGATTTTCGGATATTGAATTGACAACTGGTACCTTTTGACGTTTTCTTTTAGGATGCCATGAAGCAGCTATTAAATATGTAAAACCTTTCGTGGTAGTTACCGGTAAACCTCCAACTCGTAAAGGAGTCGAATAAAAAGATTTTAAAAGGATTTGTGAATTAATTGCTTGACGTAATGACTGTGAGGCACTGGCAAGAAGACGAGCTGAAAGTGCAGGAAAAGATCCGGGTCGGTAAAAAGGTGTAATGGATGAAGACATTATATAAGGTTACGTTAATGTATGTGTTAATATTTTTTGTGTCGTTGTTGATGTTTTGATGCTTTAATTAGGAAATAGGAAAAAAAGGAAGAAACAAATACTATTGATGACGTTGCGGTTTGTTAGATGTTAAAAATTACTTTGCTGACTATCTATCATACAACATAAAACTTTATTAAAAAATAAAAATAATAAAAATAAAAATAGTAATAGTAATAGTAATAACAGTTAATAATTACTTGTCTGCAAAAAAAAAGTCAAATTCGTTTAATAGAAAAAAAGGTTGTTTGGTGTTGCAAGGAAGCTCTATTTATATTTATATAGTTTATTTACGGTTTATTCGATTGGAAAGGAAAAAAAGTATTTTATTTTTTGTAGGTAATGGAACTTCACAACTACAAACTCTTCTCTAATTGTTTCTGATTAAAAAATTTTTTTTTTATTTTCTAAAATAATTTTAATTAAACATTTAAAAACGAATGTGTAACATAAATTTTCAGGGTTGTTAGTAATTAGCCCTTAAACAGGGCGCAAAATGTGTGATCAAAAACATCGGGGGAATTCGGATGTGAATGTTATACAACATTTGTGGTTTTTTATAATAGATGATCAACATAGCACATATTAATTGTAATAGAACTCTTTACAAAAAAATTTTCTTCCCACACCCACCTTTAAATGCTGGAATACCAAAGCAAATCAGGAATGCTTAAATGTATTATGGTCAGATGAAACATAAAGGATCCTACTATGTAGTAGTTTGCTTTAAAAAATGAGGTGCCAGTACTTACTGAACTTGCTGCTAAGTTTATGTTGATTCCTGCTTTGTTAGCAGCAGCAGAAAGAAATTGGAGTCATTTGGCTTTGTTCATAGACTAACTGATGACAGAGTTTTAAGTTAGTTCACATATACACAGTGAGTCTCAATTTAATGGACCTTGATTTAGCGGATTTAGGGGTTTAATGGATAAATTTTCAAACCAAATTTTTCTATAATTATTTTATCTCAATTTAACAGATTTAATGGATTTTCATATATATTTGATTTAGCGGATATTTAATAGTTAAACCCTTGGTAGTACAGGTATAAGTTCAATTTTACTTTGTAAAATTGAGCTTAAACTTGTATTATCCCAGTGGTTTAACTGATTTATCCCCCACCATTTATGCCATTTTTACATGTAACTTTTTCCACTATCAAGAAGATTTGTTGGGTGGTTAATAACAAATTAATTTATTCTTTTCTAAAATTTGCATGTTTCATCTTGCTTTGCGGAATATTACACTGCTCCACCATTATCATTAATATTACTAAAAAACTATTACATATTCTAATAACAATTGTAATTTTAATATTTGTGATTCAAAATCAATAAATGTTACAAGCGAAACCCATCCAGTTACTACTGAAACAGATAATACATGTGACTTGATGAGTAATGATCAAGATGCAATTTCCAGTGATACTAGTGTTGATGATTCTAGTATTTCTAGTGAT